TAAAATATACGATGAATTTTTCAAAATCCAGAAACTATAACGTGAATAACTAATTTCTGGATTCTGAAACCCTGAGTATCTATGTTTTTTATTCGTCAAAATAAAATTATTTTTGCATTACATTAAGCTCATATTTGCCACTATATAAGAAAATCAACTTTGATTGTATCATATGATTTTTCAAAACAATAAAAATCTACGGTTTAGATGCCATCGAGAGTCTCATAGAGGCATAGAATACACACATGAACATTGCTTGAGAGAAAAAAAGAGATACAATCCTAATCCGACTTTTACAGCATTGCTTGAGAGATATATATAGTGAATATCCGAGTTAGCCCTTTGCAAAAAGAAAAATAAATAAAAAAGGTTCATCCTAGGATTTTCTCCCAGGCCCGAGACCCGAGGAGCCGCCGCCGTTGAAAGCCATGACCCTCTAGCGTCGAAGTCTCGCTGTTCAAGTCTTCTACTCTCCTTGAAGTAGTGCTGGTTATCTCATCTCCGAAGAACCGTTGCCGCACTTTTCCTCTAGAGTCTTGTTTTCTGGTGCGCTCCTTCTCCAACTGCTCTCGTTTTCCTCCATGGCTCGTAAAGCATCAATGTGTGTACTCGCATTGTCTTGTTCGGATCTAACCGAGGCATCTCATCACATACGGGTCTTAAGCCTTTCGGCTCACCGACGGTGTTTGAATGGGCCATCGCCTCTGCACCCTCTGGTACCGGCAGAGCCACCGGATCTGCCGGACCGGGCTCGACATTACACAGTTTCTCTCCAACTGCTGATGTGTAACCATCGTCACTGGAACATAATCGCCCTCTTGCCCCCATCTCACCCTTCGGTTTCATCTCCGGCTCGACTGAGGGCAAAACTCCCACCGACGGGAGATCTTGTCGTCATCTCCATGTCGCCTCCGCCGGAGAACCCATCTCCGGGGCTGACTCTCCTCTTTCCCTCAGCCACCGCCGTTCCGCCGCCGTCGTCCACCTCCCATTTCCCCAACTCGTCGAGATCCTTTCCCTCCTCAACCATAAACACATAATGGGCTGGGCCAAAATGTGTTATGGGCTTCTTGGCCCAATAAGCTTAAATCTCTCTGGCCCATATCATGAAAAAGGCCCAATATCAGATCGAGATTCTTATTTGCAAATCAGGTATAAGACCATTCACGATTTATCTCTCCAAAGATGTACCACCTTTCTTGTCGATTTCGACATATTGTTACAGAGCTCGTTAAAATCAAAGTCCTCCAAATCGAGCCTGGAGAGACCTATTCGGTTTCACTGTGCCTCATTTTATGAATCGTCGAGATTCATATATCCATGTATGAGAGGATCAAAGTTTTTCTGGATTCTCAAATCCTGTAATTTACTCCCGATAGAAGAGTTCAATTCCACCTGATTCCATCTCTTTGAGATTGGTTGTATCTTCTTCTCTCTCTTGGAGAGCGGTCGAATTCCCGAGCGTTATGCCGGGATCTTTAATGTCACAATGGAAAGTGACCAACCTGAGACTCTCCGGCTTTGCCGCGAAGACCCTCTTAACGCATCCGAGGCATGTCTTGGATCCGCTGTCCATCTTCTACGATGATCTTTATGCTTTCTGTTTTATTGCATTTCAATGATGTTGTATTAATGTTGGAGGATGGTTAATTCCTACCCTTTATACTTTGATCAGTTAAATAAATGAAGTACGCTTGTTGAAAAAAAAATACGAGTTAGCAAAAATAATCTTAAAAATATCTAACGATATCAATAATTAATACAACATCCACTATTATTCCACAAGATTCCTTTGAATTATTAATACTTTAATAATTTATTTACTTTACACATTGTACATTCACACTTCTAGCGATGGAATTATTAATTTGATTCGAAACAATATTTCTAAAACCGGACTGGACCGGAGTTAAACCGGATTAAACTGAGAACCGGTTACTAGTCCGGTTTGGATTAATTTAAAATCCTAATTATAGTTAGATCGGATATAAAATCAGATTGAACCGGTAAAAAATTGGAAACCGGTATTGAACCGGAACCGTATCAAACCGGATTTAATAATTTTGTTAATTAAAAGTTTTCTTTTTCATTTTATTTTCTTGTAATTATAAATTTTTAGGCCAAATTTTTTTGATAAAACTAATGAAATAGAAAACTTTTTCCATATAAAGCATTTTTAAAGTATAAAATATGTAAGGATTTAGACCAAAACGCTTAAATTTGTTATAATTATGTTAGTATCTATAAATAA